GGGCCCACAATCACAGACGGGATGATCGAGGACATCAAGAGATGTCTCTCTATCGCGCAACCTAAACTGGTATCAGCACACAGGGGCTCATGGTCCCCGGCCACCTGGGGGCAAAATAGTCTTTTTATGCAGACGGACGGCGAGAAGAGGGGATCGGGCTACCTGTCAAGCATTTTCAGGCCCACGAAGCAAATGATCCACAGTTTGGAGTCGAGTCAAGCGGAGATCTCAGTGGACCTTGATCCTTCAACAAGTATTTTGAGGGGAAAAGAAATGGAGGCGGAGGATTTGCCCTCGTCGAGCGAGCTCCAAGAAGAATCAGTGCCCGATGAGGGTTCGGCCCATCAACGGCTGCTTTCTCTATATGAGGAGAATTACGATGAGTTTAAAGCGGATCGAGAGGCGAAGTTGGAGGAATGGCTTGGAGGGATGGGGTGAACCATATGTTGAAATTGACTTGGTGAATCTCCATTCTTCTGGTGAAAAAGAATATTGCATTTTTGTGCTTTGATGATGAAAAGTTGACATTGGAGAGAGAGAGAGAGAGAGAGAGAGAGAGAGAGAGAGAGAGAGAGAGAGGTGTGTTTTGTGCTTAGTTGTTGTACCATGATTGCTTTGCGATGATGTCTGTAATATGATTTGGTAATGTCTCCAGTTTGGATTGGGTTGTATCAGTTGAAAGATTACTAGCACCTGAATGAGTAGTAATTGTACGCGTACAAAAAGGCTTGTAGAAGTTTTTTTTTTTCCTTATAAAATTTTTACGTCCTCGTTTTTTTTTGAGTATATTTTGTGTATATTTCCAGTACAAAAAAACATATTTTTTTATGGAAGACATGTTTTTCATTACAACATCTACTGAATATACTAACATAAACGTAACATATACCCACCTAAACAGATGCGTGAATTACAATACATATATTTTTATCTTTCTCTATTAAAAACGTAAAAACTGCGCAAATGAAGGAGAAGTACCCAAGGGCATAAAATGGGGATAGAAGTTTCATTTCTCTCTCTTAATCAAGGACATAAAAAGGGGATGGAAGTCGAAAAGATATGGTAACTGACTTTAAGTAGAGATGGGTTTGTTTGGAAACACTTATTGAGAAGTCCATTTCAAGATGAACTTTTTGAAAAGTGACTTTTCAAGAAGTGTAGTATAAAATTCTTGGAAATGGACTTTATGTGGGAATTACTTTTAGAAAAGTCCATTTTGTTATTTACACCAAACATCTTTTTATATAGAAAATGGACTTTTATAATCAAAAGTTCATTACAAAAGTGCTTCCAAACATACACGTAATCATTTGTTTATAGATTGTATTTTTCGCAATATTTTCAGAATCAGAATCTTGTATGATGGATGAAAATTTCCCAAATAAATATTCAACAATGTAAAATTTAAATATTTATAAAATAATGTATGTGAATGACTATTTTGTCCCTGATGTAATTGTATTATTACGGTTGTGCCATCAGAAGTTTCCTATAAATAGGAGCTTCAGTTATAATGAAAAACACACCTAAGAGAAATATTTTCTCTATTCTCTCTCTTTTATTTCTAGTTTTATAACTCGTTATCAGCACGAGTCTCTACCCTCTAAAGCTCTAATATAATGAGAGTATGCTCTACAGTTGCGTCTTATAGACGATCCTCTGTATCAGAAATCAGTCATTTTTATTACTTTGTTTCGAGACTAGCGTATCCAGCTGCAGCTTATAGATCCACCAAATCGGACCTCTGCGGATCTAAAATTGAAAGGAAGAAAAGCAAAGAAATTCGTTGGGTCTTTTGGACTCTAGAAAGTACATAGCCTTGACTTTGTACAAATTTCAACGAACTCGTGTTCTTGAAGAAGATACATTTCTTTTCTGATGCAAACTTGTGATCATATTCTCTATGCTTGAGTTGTTTGGCGAATTGCCTATTTGAGTGAATCTCCATCACACGATTTGCGTTCTTTTCTATCTCTGTTTATTTGATTTTGGACACCAAATTGGTCATGTTTGATTTCATCAAAGCATGTCTGATATTTGGAGAAAGTTTTTTTTTTCTTCTGTTCTCACACAGAAACTTCATTCTGAAGAGGAAAAAGGTTAGGAATTTTATTGGATCTGCAGAGATAAAAATCATGAACCACTTGAAAGCTTCTTTATAAATTATAATTTGAAAAGAGGTTGCTTTTCATTAGATACATGGTTCAGTGAACCTCAAGACCTGAAATATATAAAAATCTAGGCTCAATTTTCAAGAAATGAAAAGAATAATTTAATTACTACAAATAATACTATATCATATCATCAACATATATGCCAGCGGGGCCTCATTAATTATCTCAATAGTTAATAGAGGACATGTTCTGGTTGTAAGATAACATCAATGAAAGAGCAAAAGGATGTGGAGGAAAATTAATTATGAATAAAATAATTTGGACTTTGACCATTATGATGAATGGGCCAAAGTAAGATAAAATATTGGGCATGGAGTTCAACTTCACGTGCACCAGGTATGTAAATTTTTATTTCCCCACTATTGAATTATTGCTACTAATTGAAAATCAAATGTACGCAACAGAACAGATGAGGAAATATTTACTTGATCATTTAATTATATAATTATGTTTTATATTTTTATTAAATGCATACCACTCTAATTAATGATAATTTCTTTTTCAGACCAATATTGATATAATTTATTAAATTATATTAATATTATCATTATGAAATGTTTGATTTTTCTATTAAGAAAAATATTTGGTACATGAACATATGGATATTTATGAATTGACCCATGTGTGGCTACATAGACAGGTTAGTGCGGTTCTACCGACGACGGGTGATATTTAATGGTAGCCGACGGGTCAATTAATGAAAAATGAAAAATCATGTGAAATGGCCAAGTAGAGTATTCACTGAAATAAGATTTGAACAACTAAATGAACCAGTCAGTGTACTGAATAATGATGACCGGTGATGGTCAGATGATAAGTGTATTAATGATAACCGGTGATATGGAATGGCCAGATGAAAGCCATCTGCAACAAAATATGAATGACTATATATATACATGGGCCGGCCAGTGCGGCTCTGCCGCCGGTGACGGGCAGTACAAATTAATTGATAGCCGATGAATGAAATGAATGATACTTTGTATCTGGCCATGTGAAAGTTAATTAAAGTTCTGATCGTAAACGAACATTATATGGAGTAATCTGATCCTGAAAGAATAGTTGATAAATTCTCAAAATTTATTGATGGCCGAGAAACGAATATTGATGAAGTAGTACCAGAAGTTACTACTTAATGATTAAATGATATCTGGTATATTGGTATTGAAATCTACCACGTTATGATTAAACAAAATGATGAAATAGTACCAGAAGCTACCATTGGATGATTCAACAAAATGAGAAAGTGGTACCAAAAGTTACAAGTTATGGGTGATCACACAAAATGATTTCTCAATATATTTTATGAGTCTAAGGGACTATATCAGATCATATTGAGATTCGAGATTATATAGATATTACAATAAAGTGCTCCAGAAGAAGCACATATGGTAAATGATTGTAGTCATGAAGTACTACACACTTATATTGTGGAAAAACTAAATTGATATTATTATTACTGAGGAACAAGTACAGAAAGTTCATATGATGGAATTATGGAGAATAGGCAGTACATGCTCGATAAATACAAGATACGCAAATATTACATAATAGAACCCATAAAAGAAGGGTGTGTCTCGAGAGTATAAAACTCCGTAACTCTGCCACTCATTATTGTTATATGGGTTCATAATGAGAGATCTAAAGGATCAAAAGCTCTTTTTCGCTTAACCCCTTGTGTTTCCACAGACTCTTGAAATGTGATGCATTCTTGAAGCTTTTTGATAAGCTCACCAGACGTATCTGCAGATTTGAATACTTCTCTCGTTGGAGGAGATATAAATGTTTGATATACTCTTTGGTCTAAAAATCCAAGCAAACTAGAAAAAAAGTTATTAAAATTCAATAGACCTATGGGCTTGTTATGAAGTTTCAATTATGCCCAAGAAGCAAGGATGAACATTGTCATTAGCATTCCATAACCGCCTGGAAGAATGATAAATGCATCGCTCTTGCTCGCCATATCCATCATACAATCATGAATAGAATGAGTTAGCATCATGCATATGGAATCTTTGACGACCCTTGTTGAAGCTCTATGAAAAGGTATGATACTTTTCACTTCTATCTCAAAACATTTTCCAGCCAATAAAAGATTATCAAAGAAAGTGATGCTAGTCCCTCCATACAGTAAATTGATTTTTTTTTATTTCTCACATCCCTTACTAACTGACTCACAATATCAACATTTTGAGAAGAACTTACTAGTCTAGAACCACCAAGAACACATATGGTTTTGATCGGCTGAAGAAATTTATTACCTTGCGAAGGCTCTGAAACATCCATCTATTTATTGATAAACTTATTTTTTCAAAAGTTTGTGAGGCATATGATTATGATGAATGACTCTCTATTTAAATAGAAAGTTTTACAAAGCGATAAATAATTTTACTGTTTTCTTCTGACAATTGCAACTGACAGATAAGGTGTTGGGTTTTAAATAAATCTTATATGTCGGCAGCTATAAGATTCTCTGAAAATTACAGTGCAACTACTAAACTTCATTAGTATGATTTTCATACTAACAAAGACTAGTTTTACAAACTTGATCTTTTGAAACAATATTTTCGAGACTATAACGTTCCTCTTCATTTTTTAAACGAATCCATAGAGACAGAAGCTCACGATGCACATACCCACTAGGATGTGTCTCAAGAATCTGGTGGATCGTTTGATCCATAGACTCCTTACTCAATCCATCTTTTATAAATGTTATTTTATCTTCTCGATTTTTGGACACGAACCCCACAGATTTACATCGTGTGTCACAAGTCCATCGAGCACATTTGTAGCATCCACCTATTCGTTTTACTCTTTGTTTCTTTGCAAAAGTACTCTTACCCATACCTGGCATATATTTGTATGAATTTGGAAACTCTCCCGACAATCGAGCTTTTGCTTAAATCAACCATCGAATATCGCTTGGAATATCATTAATCATTAGCACCCTCAATCTTTCTATTCGAGACCGATAAATCCTTTTTATGATATTTACTGGAAAAATGGATAATATTTACGGATATTTGAGAGTGCTAAATCCATCTGTAAATTCGGACCTTTGTTCAGAAATATTGAATGGATTGACTGATAATTTATAGAAATGATGCGTATGATATACGACTCTAAAAACAAAGAGTCTTTCTGACAGAAAGATTGATACGCATGTGATACGATTCTGAATTTAAAAATTGTGAGTCAGAATCTGCACTTGAAGTGCATTTATTGTCGCCGAAAGATGATGTGATATGTTTAATGGGTCACAATAAATTATTGTGATGTTTACTGATATAAATGATGATAGTTTGAATGATTAATTGATTCTTTGTGATATGAGATACTTTATTCTCGATTGGTGAAATTATTACTAGCTAAATATTTGTGAATCGATTTTTGATCAAAATGAGTATGAAAGGGGTACGATATATATGGGCCCATTACCCCGCCATGTGTGCTACTAGATATTATGGATCCACTAGATAGCCACATGTGTGTGATCCGTAACCTGAAGTTACGAGATGATTTGATCAAAGAATGTGTATATGACACTTAACCTAAAGTTACGAGATGATTTGATCAAAGAATGACACAAGATGATTATGAAAATAAGTGTTATATGAAGGTGATGAAGCTAGTAATATACTCAGCTAATATGATGAACTCTTGAAAGAAAAATGTGCACATTACAAGTGATATGAGTTTAAAGTCCTCCTATTATATGTTGAAATCGAGAACGAAATGGAGATTATAAGAACTCCCTCAAGAAACTCAATACTGAAAATACAGATCAGGGATCTGTTAAGATGAGGAGGAGAATCAATTACTGAAATTTTAGAAATGATATATGCATCACACTGAAAGTGTGCAAATCATAAACTGAATGATACTGATGGTGGTGAAATATATGAAATGATATGATGGTGGAAAGATACGCTGGAAGCGTTGGTATTGTGTAAATTGAAGTTCCCCAAATAAGTGTTGAAAGGAGTCAAATATATACTATCAATGAAATTAATTGATAAATGAGATATCTCAATATATTACGGGGAATAATGGAAAGAATATGTGTCGACACAAACAAATGAATAACGCTATATAAATGATATTGATCAGCTGAAATGTGAATATTGGGAATTATTGGCAGTAAGACCGTTGAAATCGATTGATGATGAGAATGAGTTTAAAAATGAAAGTTGCACAAAAGCATGATATGACATATTATCATAATTACCACCAGTATCGAAAAATTTGAATGAATCTATATGATATTCATGAAAATTATGGAAAAGTTATTATGGTGAATATATGGAATACGCGTTGTACTCTTTTTCCCTTGGCTGAGGTTTTTGTCCCATTGGGTTTTCCTAGCAAGGTTTTTAATGAGGCAACAAGGATGGCCTATTCACATGAATAGTGTACTCTTTTTCCTTCATTAGGATTTTGTCCCACTGGGTTTTTCCTAATAAGGTTTTAATGAGGCATATTCATGGTATAATGAGGACTACTGAATAATTGATATGATTCCTCATTATGATGAGAAAACACTGGAGTAGCTGTACTCTTTTTACTTCGATCAAGTTTTTTCCCACTAGGTTTTCTTGACAAGGTTTTAACGAGGCAGCACGTGGATACTCCATTAAAGATGATCTATTTGAGGGGGAGCAATGTTGTACTTCCACAATGCTCAGGTTTTGTCCCACCGGGTTTTCCTGAGGAAGCATTATTATAATTTCAAGATGATCAGGTTTTGTCCCACCGGGTTTTCCTGAGGAAGCAATGTTATAATTTCAAGATGATCAGGTTTTGTCCCACCGGGTTTTCCTGAGGAGAAA